GAGCACGGCGGTGGCGGCGAGGCCAGGCTGGGGGACGGGCAGGGAAGGGGATGCTGAGGCTAACGTTGCCTGCGCTGCTCCCCAGGGCGAGAGCATCACCTGGGTCATCTTCCTCATCTCCTACTGGGGCGAGCAGATAGGGCAGAAGATCCGCAAGATCTCTGACTGGTGAGCGAGCATCTCCGTTGCACTGTGTCCCCAATGCGCGTGCGCACCCGCTCCCCAACACCACGCCGTTTTGCTGCGGAAAGGTTTATTTAGCTAGAGCCGTTCCCGTCTCCTGTCCCTTCCTGGTGCCACCCGGGCCTGGATCCCTTCCTTCGTGTCTGCCCATCCGCATTGGTGCTCCTGGCCAAGTGCTTTTCCCAGGACATCGCAAGGAGGGTGCTGCCTTGAGCTGCTGGCCGCTTTCTGGCTCCCGGGATGCAGGGCTGGATGTCCCAACATTGCCTCCCTGCAGGCAGAGCCCATCCGCCTGCTGCCCCCAGAGCTGGGATGGGCTTCCCCAGGGAGCCTTTTGCGTCCCCAACGTGTGTGCCTCTGTCCCAGCTTCCACTGCCACGTGTACCCCTACCCTGAGAGCGAGATGAGCCGTAAGGAGACCCTGTCAGGGCTGCTCAGCCAGATCCAGGACCTCAGCGTGGTGAGCTGGACACCACAGGGATGGAGCAAGTGTGGGGCAGGGGGGTGAGCACCCAGACCCCGTTGTCCCTGACCCACTGTCCCGGGTGCCCCCAGGTGCTGGAGGAGACGGAGCAGTACTTGGCGCAGGTGCTGGACAAGGTGGTGCTGGTGCTGCCCACGTGGCGGGTGCAGGTGCAGAAGATGAAGGCGGTCTACCTCGTGCTCAACCAGTGCAGCTTCGACGTCACCGAGAAGTGCCTCATCGCCGAGGTGTGGTGTCCCGTGCAGGACCTCACGCAGGTGCAGGAGGCCCTGCGCCAGGGATCGGTAGGTGCCCCTGTACCCTTCGTGTGGGGAACAGGAGGTCCTTTCTGTGCCAGGGAGCAGTCAGTGCCCCATTCCCTCCATGCCAGGGATTGCTAGGTGCACCCCATGCTCATGGAGGGATGTCCCCCCAAAAAAACTTGTGCCCATAATGGGACATGAACCCCACTTCTTATGCCTAGGGTGCTATGTACCCATCCCTCCAGAGATTGGGGCACCCTTCTGGTGTCCTGTATGCCTATGCCCCCCACCCAAATTCGAGTCCCCCTGCTCTGTTTTGTCCCTGGCCCTCACATCGCGTGGGTGCAAGGGCAACAGGGTGCTGGGAGTCATACACTGGGTGCCTTCCTTGCAGTACAAGAGTGGCTCGAGCGTGGAGTGCTTCGTGCAGCGCATCCCCACGTCGGAGAGCCCCCCGACGCTCATCCGCACCAACAAGTTCACCGCTGGCTTCCAAAGCATCGTGGATGCCTATGGGGTGGCCAGCTATCAGGAGGTGAACCCTGGTAAGGGCACTTGCCCCAAGGAGGAGTGAGGGGCCAGCAGTGCCTGGGTGGTGAGAGGCCTCCAGGAGGGTCCCATGTGATGTGGTCCCTGTACCCCACAGCACCCTATGCCATCATCACGTTCCCCTTCATCTTTGCCATCATGTTTGGGGATGTTGGTCATGGGCTGCTCATGTTCCTCTTTGCCCTCTGGATGGTGCTGTACGAGAACAGCCCCAGCTTGCGGCAGGCCAGCAACGAGGTGAATGGGGCCTGTGGGGCTGGTGCTGTGGGGTGGGCTTGGTGGCGTGGGGCAACTTTGGCATGGAAGGGGTTGGTGTGTGGTGGAGTGGGTGGGGGGAGATGGGCTTGATGAGGTGAGACAGATTGGGATGGGACGGGGTGGGTAGTGTGCGGTGAGGATGATGTGCAGTTGGGTTGGTGGGGTGAGATGGGGTTGGTGGATTGGGGCTGGGACGGCGTGGGGTGGGTTGGTGGTGTGGGACAGGGCCAGCAGGGAGTCTCCTGGGGCAGCTTGTGGTACAACGTGGGAGCCACGTTTGCTTCCCCCAGATCTGGCTGACATTCTTTGAAGGGCGCTACCTCATTCTGCTCATGGGGGCCTTCTCCATCTACACTGGCTTCATCTACAACGAGTGCTTCAGTAAGGCCACAGTGATATTCCCCTCGGCCTGGAGCGTGGCCACCATGGCCAACCACTCGTCCTGGAGGTGAGACCTGCCATCCTCTGGGGCCTCTGGCACCAGCCCTCCACCTTGAACTGATGTCCTCTGTTTCTCCCCACAGTTCAGACTACCTCGCCGCTCACCTGTCCCTCACCCTGGACCCCAACGTCACAGGTGTCTTCCAAGGGCCCTACCCATTTGGGATAGACCCAGTGAGTGGGGGCTGTGGGGAGATGGCATGGGACCCTCGGCAGCGTGCCTGAGCCTCTCACCGACTCACTCTGCTTTGCCCTGGTCAGATCTGGAGCTTGGCCACCAACCACCTCAACTTCCTGAACTCCTTCAAGATGAAGATGTCTGTGGTGCTGGGCATCGTGCACATGGGCTTCGGGGTCCTCCTGGGGGTCTTCAACCATGTGTGAGTCTCCCCTTGGTGCGCTTCTGAGCTTCAGCTCTGCCCATGCACCCCTGAGTCCTGCTAAGGGGGCAGAGCCTGGTTTTCTCAGGGCAGGGCAATCCCTGCAATGGGGTCTGTGGTGGCTGTGGCACCAGGATGGGGGAGGTGATGGCAGCGCCGTGTCCTGCATCAGTTCAGGGTGCAAGCCCTGTGCAGACCCCCTGTGATTCCTCCATGGGGGGCACCTGGCCCCTGTGGGGTTGGGGGCTACGCCGTACCGGGCTGAGCCCCACTGGTGCCTCTCTCTGCCCAGGCATTTCCAGCAGCGACACCGGCTGGTGCTGGAGTTCCTGCCTGAGATGGTCTTCCTCCTGGCCCTTTTCGGCTACCTTGTCTTCCTCATCTTTTACAAGTGGATCAAGTTCAGTGCTGTCAACTCCCTGGTGGCCCCCAGCATCCTCATCCACTTCATCGACATGTTCCTCTTCACTTCCAACAAAGAAAATCTCCCACTCTACGAGGGGCAGGTAGCGCCTCCCACCATGGGGCTCCAGGCCCAGCTCTCCTCTCCATCTTGATTCCTTGGCCAGTGTCTCACGCTGGATGGGAAGCTAAGAGGCACCACTTGGGACCTGCTGTCCTCTATTCTCACAGGTGCCTGTGCAGACTGTGCTGGTGGTGCTGGCTCTGGCAGCGGTGCCTGTCCTGCTCCTGGGGACGCCTCTCTACTTGTATTGCCAGCAGCGCTCTCGGAGGACGCGGCGCCCTGCGGTAAGGTCAAGGCCAAGGGGCATTTGGTTGGGGCCGGGGGATGCAGTGGGGTCTCACCTTGGCTTCTGTGCCTGCACAGTCCGGGGCCAGAGGGCAGCAGGAGCCGCTGCTGGAGGGGCAGGAGGCTGGCAACTCCGTCAATGCCACCAAGGAGGACGTGGAGAGCGGGGTGCATGGCCACGATGCCAAGGTGAAGGCTCCAGTACATGGGCAAGGTGTTTGAGCCTGGCACGATGGAGGTGGGTGACAGAGCCGGAGGAGCGGGTCCCCCTGACTTCCCGCATGCCCTTCTGCAGCACTTGGAGTTCTCCGAGGTCTTCATGCACCAGGCCATCCACACCATCGAGTACTGCCTGGGCTGCATCTCCAACACGGCGTCCTACCTGCGGCTCTGGGCGCTCAGCCTGGCGCACGCACGTGAGTCCCCCCGTGCCCTGCTTGCTCCGCTTGGCGCACTCCGGGTTCCTTGCCCAGTGTCCCCGTGGAGGGGAGCCGCACCTGGAGTAGCACCCATCCCGCAGAGCTCTCCGAGGTCCTCTGGACCATGGTGATGCGCAACGGCTTCGTGCGGTTGAGCTACGTGGGCGGCGTTGTGCTGGTGCCCGTCTTCGCCTTCTTCGCGGTGCTCACCGTGGCCATCCTGCTGGTGATGGAGGGGCTCTCGGCCTTCCTGCACGCGCTGCGGCTGCACTGGTGAGCCCCCTGGGACGGGCAAGGAGACAGGCCCCCCCCATGCTGGCTCTGACCGTGTCCTCTCCTCGGCAGGGTCGAGTTCCAGAACAAGTTCTACGTGGGTGCGGGGTACAAGCTGTGCCCCTTCGCCTTTGCGCCCGACTCCTGGGAGTAGGGCTGCCGCGCCGCGCCGCCGCTGTGCCTTTCGCAAGGATGCTCTCGCCGCTCCTACCTGGCCGCTCCTCCTCCGAGCCCTCCCCTCCAGCCCACAGCAGTTTCCTTTTTTTTTTTTTTCCCCTTCCCCTTCTCTTTTACGATGCTGAACAAGTGACCGGGGCTCTGGCACAGCAGTGAGGAAGCCAAGATGTGCAGCCTGGTACCCACCTCGCCACGCTTCGGGGCTGCAAGCAGGGGGCTCAGGGCATCGCGAAGCCGTGCTGGAAACCCTGCAGGCTGCCTGGGTGCAATGGGGCAGGGCTGCATCCGCAGAGCCTCCAGCATCAAGGGGCTGGATGCAGGATCCATCCGGCGCTGCTCGTACCTTCCTTTGCTCTTCCAGCCCGGGCAGCCTCCCCATGCGCTGGGAGACTTTCTTCTGTCAGCGAATAAAAGCCGTCCAAGCAGTGCTGTTCCCTGGCTGCTCTGGGGCTTGGAGAGGGGCACAGGAGCCCCCATCTTGGGGGTTTCCATCTCCAGCACCCTGCCCCTCTTGCACCCGCTGCTGTAGGGCTCAGCGGAGCAGGAGGGTCAGCGTGGGGCAGGGTCCATCCTGTCCCCATGGCGAGGTGGGGATGGGGGCACGGACCTGGAGGGAGGGTGTGTGATGCTGGCAGGCCAGGGGGGCAATGCCAGGCGCTGCCTCACTGCTGGCTGTAGCTGAAGGCGGGCGCCGCTGCGGCCCCGTAGACGTTGAGTGTTTGGAAGGCAGCGGGCCGCAGGGTGGGCAGCGGGGAGGGCACGGTGCGGGG